AAAATCAGCCTGTCATCCAACTGGAAGAATATGGCTGTGAATTAAATCAATGCCATATAAGGAAATCCTCCCTAAAAATGTGGAACTTAATAAAATGTCTTCATGCGCTCTCACAATCATTCCATCCAAACTCCTCCTGTGAGGCAAGAGAATACATTGTCACTGTTTTACAGGCTGGGAATCAGCCAGCCAAGTGCATTGTCTAATGCCACGTAGGAAGCCTGAAGAACTGAACCCCTCTCAGCTGCAGCTCTAACTCATGGACCCATCCACCCTCTTTCTGCAGGAAAATTTTCAGTGCTCTTTAGCAGAGAAAGCTAGAACAATTAAATCCAATGTGTCAGTGCGGGTTTTGGTTTCAACAAAAAAGAAAATAGTAGTGGAAAGATTAGGTAATTATTATAGCATAATTAAAAACGTAAGGAGTATAAAAGGAGCTCCATCTTTTGCCCTGAAGTGATGGCAAGAGAGACAAGTGGTGTGGCTCCTTGAAGGACCAAATGAATATACGGGCACCAAAATCCTGTCCCCAAGGCTAGGTCCTGCAGCTACTTGATTACACAGAAGCTTCATGGGTTTTTTTAATAAAAAACCCCGAGTATCTTGCCATCATGCATGTTGAGAGCTTTGCAGAGTGGCTGGTGCAGCAGTATCTGCCTGGTCCTAAGGTGTGTGCTTCCAGACTTCACTCCTCTGCATTACTTTGAACTTCCCTCTGCATAGCCACCTCAGCAAAGTATGTTTCATAGCTGGAGGAGAAAAGTGTAGTGGGCCAAGCCTCCTTGGAAGTACATTTTGAGTCATGCACATAATTAAGACTGTATGTCCTAAAATGTGGTGTCTGAAAGTGCCTTGCATTTTAATCCATGGTAAAACTTCACATGTGCTATGCTAACATTGCTTAAAACCCAGTGTAATAACAGTTTTCAGGTCCCTCTAGAAGATGACCCAGAGCAAGTATTTCTGCTGAAGACTAAAAGGGTCATTGCAGCTTTTCCTCCATGTATTAACTTAGCAGTTGAATCAATTTGGGTTTTCAGAAATAGGTCCTATCTTATGAATGATACAGCTAAAATTATTGCTGAAGGTATTGAATGAAGTTGTTGGCAAAAGGATGTCTTGAGCTTTATCTATTCAATCACAGGGCTCCTTAGAGCAGTTTAATTGGTCTGCTGAGACAATAACAGTTTACATGAAGATACAACCTAGCAGCAGGGTGGCTGGAAAAACTCCAGCAGGTTTTGGCTTGTACTTGAATATGGCTGATCTTTTTTGGATGTGATTTTAAAAACTAAACAAACCTGAATGGTACACGTTGCCAAGGAATGACATTTTGGGGGTTGTTTTCCTTTGTTGTTTTTTTTCTTTCTTTTCTTTTGTATAAGATACTTTTCTAAAGCATTGAAATATAAGGATCTTAAATGACATAGGCACTTCAAAAAGGGCATCTTGCTCAGGACATTTTGAGAAGTGTTTCCCAGCACAATGATTATGACCTGAGTATCTTAGATGCTTACTGCACTTACTGCAAGGGGAGGGGATTCTTTACACTTGGCACGCTGGATGTGAAAGTTTACAAGGGATATCTTTGAAAACAAACAGTACAAATCAGTATGGGATTTGCTTATTTCCAAATAAATTTTTTAGTCGTGTAGATTGACTAGAGATAGTGTAGTAAGTCCAAGTTACACTAGCATAAATGGAAACTATAATCATTCTCATGGTCCTGCAGAAATCTAATCCATAAGAGGAAAGAAAAATATTAGTTTGTTTGTCTAACAACCTATTCCACTCAAACTGTGAGAATCTTTTTGTGTCATTATCCCATTATCGGTGTCTAAATAAGGAATTGAAAAACTACAGAAAAGCTGGGTGGAGACCCAAGAAAGCAATTCAGCAGTCTGGAACTTCCTCTGCTAAGTAATTCTGGCACTAAACTCAAGCAAAATCAGAGTTACTCAGCCAAAATAAATCCGTGCAATGACGATATCAGATGTGAGGTAACAGCAAGTCATGCTGGAGGATATCAGACATTCTTGAATAAACCTCAGGGCCTAGATACAATCCTTTGCCATTATGCTGCAGCCCTGCCAGCAAAGCAAACACAAAATTTTGAGGTCATTATGGCAAGGCAAAAGTAGGACCACGTGGAGTCTATGTGCTTAGGGTGGGAGCTGGCAAGCTGCTGAGCACCTTCAGCTCACACGCTCCCAATAGCCATTAAATATCCTTCATTCCTATATTGACCTCTATGGAAGCAAACAGCTCTCCAGTATCATTTCCACAAGAAACTGCTGCAAGGCTTATTGAAGTCGTTCCCTTGCTCTCAGGATGTTGTTGATCAAACATTTCTGCCCCTAACCTGGTAGTTTATTTTTTTCTGTGTGCCCATATGTCTAGGGATATTCTTGAAAGTGATTTTATTGCCTCAGCTTAAGAAGTCAATGCCCTTCTTGGCAGTGTAACCAACCATGCATACACTCTAGACTTTTATTAGCAAATCCTACCTTTCAGTTGAGTTGGGTAGTAACACACTCTGAGGTAAAAGCGAGAGGTGATCACTTCTTTCTGCTTACTCCACCTCCGCAACACTCAGGCAGACTTCCCCTCAGCACAAGTGAAACCTATGCTTGTCTTTCCTCAGCACCTTATATTTGCATCACAGCCCTCCCACATAAAGGAGCAGGAATCTGGGGAAGTACCTTCAGCAAGCCCAAGCCTTCAGCATGTCCATTCACTCAGCTATAACTGGTTTAGCAGGCAGTAGCTTTCACATTTTGGTAGTATGACCTTTTCTGATCAGATTTCTGCACCTTTAACCACTTCTACTGTGAAATGGTGCTAGACCTTTGGCTTAGTCGTCATTCCAAAATATCCTTTTGGAAAATGGGTCGTGGAGCACTCAAAGTTACATTAATACACACTATGCAGGGACATATTCCCTCCTCTCCATCTTCCTTCTCATTGGGTCAGGAGATATGCACAGAGCTTGCTTTTCTTTTTCACTAGGTGCTGCAGGAGGCCCCAACTGCAGATCCCATTTGACTCATACCTGTGGTATTTGGCTACTGTGTTTGCAAAACTTGTGCTCTGATTTATAACCTGATGCGTAATGATGAATTCTAGAGCTGAGTAAACGAGTTAGTGTATATTGTAGTTTAGGACTATTAAACACTGAAATGTAGAGATGGAATCAAGTTAGTTGCACATAAAAAGGGGGATGTTTTATTAGAGGTAATAAATTCAGTGCAGAACAAATGTATTTAGACCAGATTGTTAAATTGCTTGGATAATTAAAACCTGTGATGGATAAGATGACATGTCATAGGAAAAGGTTAAGTATTTAACTTGGTTTTTTTACAGTTTGATTCATTGTAAGGTAAATACTACTTGCGTGGGGTATGTTAACTTTATTTCTAAAATGTGTTCACCGAGGCAGTGAATAGTGGTTATTGCATAAAGTTAAGAAAATACAAAGCTAAATTTTTATGGCATTTATATGGGGCAGTTCTAGACAGCAAGATGTAAGCACTGAGGAAAATATAAGCATTGTAGAAACATTTTGACCATAGAAGGGGCAGGCTGCCTGCTCAGTGTCTGCAAGTTATGTGAATTCCAGTTCTTTCAGATATCTATTTATATCCTTCTTTAAAGTCTTTTTGGAGTGACACAACAGAAATCCCAAGGAAAATCACTAAGAATATTTTCCCAAATCGTGTCTTGCTTTTATTTACATAAAGTTACACAAATCTCAAATTACTGTGCTTCAATTGGGATCCAGATGAAACAAGAAGTGATAAAGATTATTCCACTTCTGATGACTGTAAGGACAGCAGGCTGTCTGTCCCCTACCAAGGACTGCTGCATAGGTTTTCAGTCCATGTGACATTTCCTTTGTCTCTATTTTTCCTGCTTATTGATTGAAAAAACAGACTGAATCCTCCTTAATTTTAATCCAAAACTAAAACTGTGCATTCTACAGTGGAATAAATTTGAGTTTCACTCTTGCCTGCCTGCCAGCAGCCAGCATCTGCAGCTTTTAGTAGAGACATACCTTTAGGTAGATGCAAACCTGAAAGCTGTAAGTGCAGACCCGCATGTAGCCAGCTTGGATCCCAAAGAACAAAGCCTGCCCAAATTGATATGCCAGATGTGTGTCCCAGGTGCAGGGCTAAGAAACTATTTTTTTTTTCATGCTAAAGATGTATTTCAGCCATTTGAAGGGGGGTGGGGTGGTGGCGTTGCTTTTTTGGGGGGAATTTTGGTTTGGTTCGTGTTTTTTGTAACATACCAACAATCAGATTTCTGCTCCTAAAACTACGATGCCAGTTTCTATTTTTATTCATATATATACATAGATGTCTGGAAGTAGTTTTTCTGTAGAGAGTAGAATTTGGATCATCATTTCTAAATCCGAAAGGCTGTTCTATATACTCAGTCTGCCACCTAGGACTCTTTCATGGAAATATCAATCTTCAATGATCTGTGGGCACATTCTGACACCTGTACTTATTTTACACCTAATTCTACATGTCATCCCATTGAATGACTTCATTAAATGAGGTCAGGGAATAAATAATTTGAGTTTGAGAAGTTAGCCTGTAATTTGCCATTTAGTAGATGTGGATGAGCAAGGATTATGGACTATTTACTGCCTTTCCCAGCATTCCACTTCAGGTCCGTCTAGTTGGAAAGAATGTATTTCAATACATTTAGGATCAGATTTTGCTTGTGCTGAATTGTGTCACTTCGTTTTGTTCACCTAACATCAGTTTACAGTAAGCAAAAAATTGGATCAGAATATTTTTTTCCTCTGAGATAATCTGTTAACAGGGTGGGAGAATATTATAAATCTACCTTTGCGTAGTTTGTGCTTAACAGCCTGAATCAAACAATTGAGACTTCTCTTCAGCAAAGGTAATATTGTGTGTTCTTCTTTAAAATGAAATGTAAATATACTGCAGTACTTGGAATAATGGCTTTGCTCCTTTTTTCTGCAGCAATATGAGAACTGGCGACCAAACCAGCCAGACAGTTTCTTTTCTGCTGGAGAAGACTGTGTTGTTATAATATGGCATGAGAATGGGCAGTGGAATGATGTACCATGCAATTATCACCTTACCTATACCTGCAAGAAAGGAACAGGTACAAACTTTACAGGATCAGTTACATAATTCTCTAAATTCTGGTTTTATAAGTTAAAATGACAAATTCTAACTGATTTCTGGTGATCAGTACAGTGAGCCTTCAACTGAGTTAGCCTCACAAAGTCATCCTTCGTCTGTAACCACACATTACATCTCTACCTAATCTGTTCTCAAGTCAGACACAAAAGCATAGATAGTTGAAACTCTTGGTTAAAAACAGGCATATTTGTTCTTAGGTACAGTTCTCAGCAAAAGAGGCATTCATGTACCTGACAGGCCTGCTTTAGCTGAATACCATGCAAATATTACCAACTCTTCTTTCCTGGGACCACTGTGAAGTATGTGGGCAGCAGAACATTTGTAGCCAGCGAGAGCAGGCAGTTGACCACTAGTGTGTGGTTAGTTTTCAGCTGCAGCTGAGCATACTTTTGAAGCAATGATGACTTTTGTCTTCCTCTTTTCCAAAACAAATGGCAGTGCTGGAAACTGAAAAGTGCATTTGATTTACACACTGTTAGAGCCCTCCTGGTCGTTCCTGTGAGACCTACTCTAGATGACTGTGCTTTGGCAGGGAGGTTGGACTAGATAATTCTTTTGAAGTCCCTTCCAACCCAGACCATTCTATGATTCTGTGATACTTACAGGAAATTTAACTGTTAGCATGAGCTGTACAGCAATACTTTAGGAGTTGCCTCTGCCTTTTCAGACTGGGAAAGTAAAGCAGCAGTCAAAATCCTGTGTGCACTCCATTGCTTCCAGATACCATTGACAACTTTTTGTTAACACGTTCTCTGGGCCTAGAAGGACTCATCAGTTTTAAGTGCTTTTGAAAATGCCTGCAATAACTTCACTGGTTTTCAGGGTTTGTAGCTTCCTAGTGAAAATCACTTCTTTGTGTGAGTATGCCAACCTTTTGGGCTCATTGGAAATTCAAACCCATAAAGCAATACTAACCATACTATCTGCTGTTTTCCAATTTTCATCATTACTGTATTTTGCATGACTGGGAAACTACAAAAAGGAGAGGTCTCCCTGGCTGTATTTGGATATATCTCTAGGGAGTCTAACTGAGGTCCACTGACATGTTACTTTTGCCATGTTTTAGAGGCCGGTGCCATATTCAGAAGTGCATTTACAACCGATGTTTTGGGTTATGTTCTCTCTTCCTTTCAGTTGCTTGTGGTCAGCCTCCTGTTGTGGAAAATGCAAAGACATTTGGGAAGATGAAACCTCGTTATGAGATCAACTCCCTGATTAGATATCACTGCAAAGATGGTTTTATCCAGCGTCATATTCCAACCATCCGGTGTCAAGGGAATGGAAGATGGGATATGCCTAAAATTACTTGCATGAATCGTGAGTTCTTTGAAAATTCCACAAGGCCATTGACGTGGCCCCACATAACAACCTTCTCTCTAAGTTAGAGACATAAGGATTTGATGGGTGGACTGTTTGGTGGATGAGGCATTGGATGAATGGTCACATCCAGAGGGTGGTGGTCAATGGTTTGCTGTCCAGATGGAGACGCGTGACAAGTGGTGTCCCTCGGGTGTCTGTGCTGGGACCAGTGATGTTTAATATCTTCCTCAGTGACATAGACAGTGGGATCAAGTGCACCCTCAACAAGTTTGCATATGACACCAGGCTAGGTGGTGTGGTTGGTATGCCCAGGGGAAAGGATGTCCTCCAGAGTGACCTGGACAAGCAGATCAAGAGAGGTGATTCTGCCCTTTTGCTCTGCTCTAGTGAGACCTCACCTGCAGTGCCATGTCCAGCTCTGGAGGCCCAAACACAAGAAAGACATGGGCTTGTTGGAGCAGGTCTAGGGGGCCACAGAAATAAACAAAGGGCTGGAGCACCTCTGCTACGAGGACAGACTGATAGAGTTGGATCTGTTCAGCCTGGAGAAGAGAAGGCTCTGGGGAGACCTTCTAGTGGCCTCCCAGTACCTGAAGGGGCTACAGGAAAGCTGGGGAGGCACTGCTTACAAGGTCATGTAGTGACAGGATGAGGGGCAATGATTTTAAGCTAGAGCAGAGTAGATTTAGATTAGATGTCAGGAAGAAGTCTTTTACAATGAGGGTAGTGAAACACTGGCACAGGTTGCCCAGAGAGGTGGTGGAGGCCCCATCTCTGGCGATGTTCAAAGTCAGGCTGGGTGGGCCTCTGAGCCCTGATCTAAAGATGTCCCTGCTCATGGCAGGGGGTTGGACTAGAAGGCCTTTAAAGGTCCCTTGAGCCCAACACATTCTATAGTTTTATGTTTCTATGAAAATAAATCTGTACCAGATCAGAAACAGACTAATTTAGGATTAATAAGTAACAAATATATACATATATAACACATAAATATATATAACATATATATATAACTGTCTGTAAGAGATGCTTATTCTGTCTGCTACACAGGTATAGTACCAGTTAATTATTTGTTAATTCTCTAATTAATCAAGAATAAATGGAACTGTAATGTGTGGTGTAGCCAGCCCATTCATAATTAAATAATTTTAAATTAATTTCCCTTTTTCACTACTTCTCATTGCAGCATCCACATACCAAAGGACTTACTCTAAGAAATACTACTATAAACATTCTTCATCAGGAAAGGGAACATCGTTAAATTCATCAAAACACTATCACCGCTGGATCAGGACGTGGCAGGACTCAAGGCGCTGAAAGCTGAATGGTGAATGGGGATTTCCACCATTTCCGCCAAAGTCATAACTTTCTGTGCCTTTTCTATCACTTATAGGAGTATTATAAAATTGTTTTGAAACTATGGACTGCGGTATTCACAGTGCATTTTGCAAAAATATGGTGTTTATCAGAAAAAAAATCTAAAAAAGGAGAAGTGTTTATGGGGATAAAAGGAAACCATTTCCAGCCTATAAAGATTATTAGTTTTCTATATGCCATCAGTGTGGACCATTTTATGATATATACCAGCCTTCTGCAATATTTAAACAGCTCAATTTTAGCACCAATGAAAATGTAAATAAGATGATTTTAATGTTGTTTAAATGTGTGTTGTTTTTAAAATCCTGTATATAAAATGAAAAGTCACACTAATTTCAGGCATATTTATGGTTAGAATGGCCTCAGAGGTCTTCAGTCATTTATGACATTGTTTTTATGTTGTTTACCTAGGCTGGAAATGGTTGAAATAACTTCACTGACTGAAATTTGCTATTACTGGGTGAAGATAAACACACAAGTTATATGACTTTTTTTTTTTTTTAATGGGAACTGTGCCAATCCCCACCCAAGGTACAGTTTATGTCCATGTGATGCAAGGTTTAGACAGAGCACATAAAAGTGGCATGAAGCATGAACTAGGGACTGCAAAGTGGAACTTTTTTTCTGCTCTCCATTCCAGCTTCACCATTCATGAGAAAGAACTGCATGGAGAAGTTGTGTATAACAAGGAGAGCCTGTAAAAATCCAAGTGCTAATACATTAACTTTATCAGCCAGGGCCACTTTTTTGAAAAGAAATAAAGGAAAAAAAAGAAAAAAATTTCTTTCATGACATTAACCACAAGGTCTATATTACAGGTCTCTGCATTCTAAAATGGAGGTAGACCTGGTGTTTGGGGGATTTTTTTTGTAAAAAACAAACAAAAATCAAAAAAGTAAATAATTTTGTATATATAACCATTTTTTAATCTTTTTATAAAGTAATGAATGTTTGTGTATGAATGCTGCAGCTGTGAAGCGTACATTAATAAATGAAGTAAGCCATACTGATTTAATTTATTGGATGTTATTTTACCCATGCAAGGAAGATTAAAAGAGCTCGCCAGTGCAGTATTAGCCCCTGAGCTCCACTTTTGGAACCATCTTTCAGTCCAACTGCTATTTCCCTGGACAACAAAATTCCTGCTAAACAGGATAATTTGTTTGTGGTTAAATGGGTGAGAACTGTGTGACTTACAGAAGAATCAGAATCTTGGCTTTCTAGAAAGAAGTGTGTGCACAAAGAGATTATAGGTTGTAGTTGGTGCAGTGCGTAGGTAGGAGTTTTCTGTTATGATTTCTTACCCTGGTCAGCTCGATGACTGACCTGGATGTGTACAGTAAGTGTAGAAGGTAACGTTTGAAATGACCTCTCCACAGAAAGGACTGTTATTTCTGCAAAGTGCCTCGCACACCATCAGGCACAAGAGAGAAAAAAAAAAAAGAAAAACAAAGAAAAATTTAAAAAAAAGTGAAAATCATGACCAGTAAGTTCCCTAGGATATACCTTTTAAAATAACATTGCAAGTACAAACAGATGGGAGGTTTATACCTTTGTGTTAGTGTGGGGATATGATGCAAAAAGCTGAAAGTGAAAGGAAAACAATTGAAAACCAGCCAGCATTTAAGAGTTTGTACTAGGCAGAGCTGCCCATGGATTGACCTTGCCATAGCTCATTGGAAGCAGTTAATTACTGTTCCAGACAACATCTCTTAAGAAACTGCAGTGACTGCTCCATCAAGTGTACCCAATTTTTGTGAGTTCAACATGGCAATGTGTCACTGTGTTGGCCGGTTCATTCCCCACCCTTCGCCCCCAAACAATGCACATAATACTTTTCTCTATTTATATTATTATCTTGTATAGTGTATAATGTGAATGTCTGGGGTTTTTCTGTGAATGAAAGTCTAAAATCTTTGTAACTTTTATATCTGCTTCTGTTTCACCAAAGAAACAAGGTTTTGCTATACTGTGACTTGTCTTGTTATTGCATGTCTTCCTATTTTAAATCTATGCAATGTGATTTTTTTCATATGAATACAATTAGACTGTCAGGTACTTCACAGTTATCATGGGCTTAGTCAAGTGCCCACTGGAGTCAAAGAGAGTCAGCTGGCTGAACTTTAGTAGGTGCTGGATTTGACTTTATATGAGCAGCTCTAGGGGATATTTTGAGATATACATTGTATGTTTTGAAGTCGATTATTGCTTGTATAAGTCAAGGCTCTGTTCATAAATATACACTACTCTACACATCACTTCCTTGTACCAGAAACACACAGAACAGAAAATATATTTTAACACTTTGCAAACTTTCTCACCATATGTATAAAAAACCCTGCATAGATTTGTTCTTTTCTTGTCTACTTGTTGGATTTAAACAATGTTGTAAGGCATTCAGATAACATTGTGATTGTAGTTTTAAATAGGTTAGATGCAGTGCTTATATTGATTTTTTTCACCTCCTTCTATTACGCATAATAAAATAGGACTGACAACATTCCTTATTAAAAAACAAAACAAAACAAAACAAAACAAAATGTTCCCCCTGCTTGTTTATTTAGACAGAGAATGGAACTTTATTCAGCACTGGAGACCTTTTCCAATACTGATCTATACCTCATATGTTCCAATACCAATCCCCTGCAAAATATACCCACTCGTATTGCAAAGTTAGGTCTGCTTTGAAGCAGAGTGTTACCATGAGTGGTGTGAATCCTTTATGTGGAGCATCTCCAAATCCAACATGCAGAAATGTGTTGGGACTGGAGCAGAGAGGTAGAGGACAAAACTAGAGATTTAAATATAGTATTTCTGAGTGTTTCGTATCTCAGCTTTCTTCAAGTTAAATTAGAATTCTTTTTAGCTTATTGCTCAAAGTTAGCCCATATCTGCTGCAGAGACAGAAAGGTCTGTTTTAAATTGTATTTTACAAGTACAAGTGAAACAAATTACATGGTATTTCTGCAGTAATTTTTCCCTGTTGCATAAGTATTAAACTTTTTGTCTCTACTAACACCTCGTCTGTCACTTAAAAGGGTACAGAAATAGCTGTAGACTAGAAAGTAAAAAAGTTAGGAGAGGATGAGACATCGATGATTGAACTGATTAGTTTAAAGGAGTTCAGACATGTATCATGCATCATGGATTGCCAGCAACACACTAAATATCTGGTTCAGCCAAGGTCCAAGCTGCAGGTTTGTGCACAGAGCTCAAAATGCCACGTGAGAGTAAATTGCATTGCATGTGCTCATGAAAATCTCTGGAAAATAGTTGTTATTACTATTCTGAACAACTTCACACTCTTTTAGATACTGACAGCATGAGCCTCAGCGCACAGAAAGGTTAACACCACATAGGACAGAAATAAACCAGGCCACCTATTTTGGTAGAGCTTCTGAAATAGCAAGAGAAGATACTGCTTAGTGGAAACTTTCATGTATTCCAGCTCCACTCTAAAAGATGCATAGCTTCTTGGAAGCTAGGGAGGAAGAGACGGCTCCCTGATGGCAGACCTCCATGAAGGATGTTGGTTTCTATGGTATCTCTTGCCTGAGATGTTGCTGCAAGCTGCAACTCATCAGAGACTGGGGATGCGTGAACGATTTAGGAAAAGACACAAGTCCCTGGAAGTGAAATAGGTGAGCTAGCAAGACACAAATGGGCTGACAAGGGGCTGACAATGGAATAGATAACCTGCACAGAGGGTTTTGCTGTCAGAAATTGCCGGGGCAGTGGCTGGAGGAAATATTGCCTGATGTTCAACCTATGGGTATTGTTAAGGTCAATGCCCCTAATAATTTAAGCGAAAGGTCTTTCTGTAGGCAGCATTTTTTCCTCTGAGCATAAACAGAAGCCAGAATAGGCAAGTGGAGACATTCTCTTGGTAGTGGGATGCTGAAAGCGCAGCAGCTGGTGCAAGCTTGGGCTGTAGAAAGCTCAGCAGCACAGTGGCCTGGGGTGATTGGGGAGGAAGTGAAGCAAGAGGAGCAGCAGCTAGCAGCTATTAGGTGATTCCTGCAGGCCTAGGTCTTGCTAAGAGCATGACTTGTGGGTTTAATTAAATCCTCAGTAAAGCTCTGCACCTCAACTAAGTTTAACATTTGGATTTTGCTTTTATCCACACTATAAATGCTGAATTTTTACATAAGGAAGAGCTGTGTTTTTGTCTGCTAAGAAGACTTGATGTTATGTCTCAAAAAAAAAGGAATCCGAGGTGGTTCCTTCTCAGTGTGAGTAGGATTGTGGTTGCAAAAATGCATGCTAGGGCTTATAGGCAGATCTGTGAACTTCAATGGCGTTTGTAGGCAAAGGGGTATGAATCGCTCCTGCTGTGGACCGAGCTATTTCTTAGACTAAATGGTGAGAAAAAATGGTGTCCACGTGCTTTGCTCAATTAAAAGGCTTGCAACGTGCAGTCCTGCCCCCAGAGGCAGAAGATGACTTAGGCTGTCTGTAGGCTTCAACTCCCCAGGTAGGAAACTGCTCCTTCACCCGGAAATGTTCAAGCTGTTGCATACCAAAAACATGCATAAGACTGTAGGAGCATGCTGGTTTTCCCGACAAATGATGGAAGGGATACAAACGATGTTTGGACGAAGCACTGACAAAAGCTTATAGGCCATGCAAAGTTGTTAGCAGGGTGAAGGCAAGAAGTACAGTCATTTTAAGGACAGAAATATCATCCAGAAAAAATACCATCCAGAGTGTGTTATTTAAATACTCCAGCAGTAGACCTGGAAGGAAACTTAAGAGCCTGTAAAGTGCAATTTGATGGTAAGTTTTAGTTTTCATGGCAAATAAATACTTTCAAGTGGGGAAGCCATCAACATTTATAGAGGCTAAGTTACTGTGTAAATGCAGGGGAAAAAAAAAAAAAGAGAATTGGAACTTTCAGGTGTATTAGTGAGGAATTTATTACAAGGGTGGGAAAGGGCTTCATGATACTACCCAGATGCCTCCAGATTTCCATCTGCCAATAGCCAGGAGAAATTAATTCAAGCTAGAAGCATATTCTTCTGAGACAGTTGGAAAAATGGAGACGATGAAAGGAAGGCAAACACTGTACAGATACATTAGTCCTAATGAGTGATTTACACGGCTTCTGGTTTTAAGCTGTAGCGGTTGCATCATGTAGTGGTGACAAGTCCCATGACAGTAAAACTCCTTATTACTTTAAGACACGAAAGTGATCAGTTTAGAAAAGTGAATAAATGGTGTGGTTGACTTCAGTAGCAAGAGAATGGCAAGAATTTTAGTCCTGTGTTTCTTACGCTACAGTGTTTGGGTTAATAACTACACATTATGTTTCTATGTAGCAGGGACAAAAGAAACACAGAAGTTTGGCAGGGGTCATACACAAAGATCTGAAGCAGCCCAGGGAGCAGATATGTGTTTAGTAAGGGTCCCCTTCCTTCACAGGTGTAAAAGTAAAATAATAAAGAAGTGACTTTTCTAAGCAGGTTATGGAAGTTTTAATTCCAAATGCCGTACAGTCCCAGGCTGCTCTCTTCAGGGTTAAAACAAACGTTGGGCCCACTGATGTGCCACATCATTGTCAATATATTTTTCTTGATAAGCTTAGAAAAGAGGAGAAAAAAGCAGCAGATATTGCTGACAGCACTGTTTGCCTTCTGAATGAAGGATCCCTTTAACCGTGAAAGACATAACCATTCTTTCACTGAACCTTGCTCATCTTAAGCCATGGAAGCTTCTAGATGTGTTCAAATCCTCACCGAGGACAGTGTGTGTCAGGAAAACAGAGACAGTGACTGCTCCCAGTACATTTTCCATGTCAACCTCTTGGTGAGAGAAGAGGCAGCCCCCAGCTTCACGAGTCTGCAGAGATGATGCAGTTCCTGCATTACCTGTGGCTGAGAGGTACAAGTGCCAGGCTGGAGCTATTGCCCCATATCTCCCAAAAGGGCAATTCAATGCTCTGTTAACAAAACCTGTGGACATTGATGTTGTTCTAACCATGCCGGGGCCAGGCTGGTA